ACTCTGACTTAGTTGGCCATTCTCAGCTGACAAGTGCGCAGCCTCGAGATCGCGTGCATTGGCCGCGAGTATGTCTTTCTTGGCGGCAGTTAGGCCGGCGTGGACAGCCGTGAGAGCATCATTTCTAACATATTCGGATAGAGTAGCGAGGACATGTGATGCTTCTTTTGCCGACTTGGCTGCTTCTGAAGGGGAAGCGTTTGTAAGAGACATCACTATAAGTATCTACTTGGTATACAAGTATTCAAGTAAGATAAGATTATTAAGATACAATACGTCTTTGAAAGATGCAAGGAGTGGGATGTCCCTAGATCGGATCGGATCGGACTTAAAGTGTCGAATATACTTGGTGTAACCTGCACCCTTTGCCCCGCGGTGGAAATTCCGCACGGGTACCTATAACGTGGGACGCCACCTGCGCCACTTGGGCAATTTGCTAGTCCCACCTTGAAGTTGAATTTAACTGGGGTAGTCGGGGCTAACCATAGTTGGTTAGGCCTCAGCCTCCACCATCCAAAAAAGCTTGTAACTTTTTAGCTTCGTCTTTGCTTCTTGTCAATTGTTCGCCCTTTACTCTAGGTAGTTCGTAATTCTTTATCCAATGAAATCTCATACGATACCAAACCAATAATCCAAACATATTTTATCTGTGACTTTACACTTCGTCATGAGAATTACTTCGATTTTCTGATCAGCTTTTAGAAGACATAAGAGTTATAAACTTCCTAATTCGTGATGGCTCGTATGATCCATCTTCCGATTGAGTCGGATGGAAGAGTTTATGGCAGTCATAATAGTTCAAGTAATAACACACACAACCAATGATGTATTGTAAATGTAAGTTTTCATTCTCAAATATTATGTTCATTGACTGCTTGTTCGCAGTATTTCTTGCCGGATTTGCTCTTTTACATCGTCAATTATCAGTCTGGGTGCTTTCGGATGACCAATTCGTCCGATGTTGTTCTCTCATAAGTCACACAAATAGTCTCAACGATAACGTATTTGTCCAAAGTAAAGCACAAGGCGGCCAACTACAGCGGTGGCGAGTAAGACAATCTTATGGATATAAATCCCCGACGATTCAACGTCATGTTAAGCATTGTGCTTATGAAAACTATCATCAAGCTTCCGCCGGGAACCGTCCCTAGTGCCGATATATCCATTGGCATTGGATCCATGGATATTATGTGGTGAACTAGTGTCATCCGATGCCAGCATACACCCGTGTTGGTATTCCCGGGGATCGCCATATCGTAGCATTTCAGGCTTAGGTATCCAAAGAGGATCGCTTCTCCTGCTGGCTACCCTAGCTACCTAGGTAAACTTTGGGGTTGTCGGAGCCACTAACCGAATGGAATCGTAATACTGAGCACTCCTGAGTCCTGAGCCGCGGCCACGATCTCGGTTTCCTCGGCCTTTCGCGCGAATATGCATCTCCCGTAAGCCGTTTCTGCACTCCTTCCCCACACAGGCCAAAGCTTTGAGATTCTCATTGTCCAACCGCCTCACAAAGCACATTATTATACTATATCTCCACTATCCGAGTAGTAGCGCTCACCTTATCTCTCCATTGTTCCATCCCCCTTAACGATCCCACCAATAACTTCCTGCTCTCTAACTTTACTATGTATTTCACCATCCCCCAACCTCCAAATTCTTAAAGTCAGGGCAGGGTTCTCATCACCTTGGCAATATTTCACATCCATACAACACTCTATCACGGTCCTGTCACTAATTGAGTCTTTTATTCGACTATCTAACGGTCAGCGTTGACTTTTATTCTCCACCGATATCGGTTATCACATTGTCGGTCTAGCCTAAGCTTCCCTCCGAGCGACGTTTCTTTGTTGGGTAGAAACTCTTTGGATATGGCTGTTGATCTAGAAAAGATAGACGAAAAGGCAGAAGGCCATGGAATCGATAGAGGACGCTCAGAGGACGAGGATGATACTGGATTCATCACCTCTACGAGCCGTGAGGTGGATGATACTTCTCTAGATGTCGCTCCTGAGCAGATATTCTCACCAAATGGCATACCGGTCGATGAAGAAGCTGCGATCGCTACGTCAATGGAACGAACTAGGTCGCAGGCATCGTCTGCTCGATCTGGGCCACTGTCTATAGTGCCAAGACTAAAACGACGAGGCTTATTGGCGCAGTTGACACTCATTCCAGAGGTCGAACGGCCTTACGAGTACCCAAACAAAATAAAATGGGCAATAACGGCGTTCGTGGCAATGGCGGCGTGTGCTGCGCCCATGGGATCTTCCATATTCTTTCGTAAGCAATTGCATACCTTCCACTAAAATGTAGCATAGCCTTCTCCTATCAAGTACCAGAGGGCTCACGTGGATCATATTAGCTGCCCTTCCGGAGATGACTAAAGATCTCGATGCATCAGCGACGGTGGTAAACTTGACTGTAGCTCTATACATGTTAGCAATGTCAATCTTCCCACTATGGTGGAGCTCCTTTTCCGAAACCCTGGGAAGGCGTGACATCTATCTCGTGTCCTTCTTCTTAAACGTTGTTTTCTCTCTGCTCTGTGGCCTGAGTGTCAATATTGCCATGTTGATCGTCTTCCGGGTCCTGTCTGGCGGAGCAGCCGCATCCGTGCAAGCGGTCGGCGCCGGGACTATAGCTGACATCTGGGAGCCCCGCGAACGCGGACGTGCAATGGGTTATTTCTATTGGGGTCCGTTGGTTGGACCCCTTTTAGGCCCGTGGGTGCCCCCTTCTCGCCCCCTTTACTGCAGAGTGGTGTGACTAACTCCTATCGTCGAAGCATCATCGGCGGCGCCCTCACGGAAGGATTCAACTGGAGAGGCACCGTTTGGTTCCTTACTGCATACGGCGCCGTCGTATTTGTCCTTGTTCTATTCTGCGTGCCAGAGACCCTGGCGAAGCGTAAACCCGCGGCTGTGGCCGAACCTTCGCACGCCAACGACCTGTCGCGGATTTCCACCGCGCGTTCAGTGCAGGCGCACACCAAGCAGACGGTGGCATGGCTGAAGCGGTGCTTCATCGATCCGCTCGAGATCATCCTGTACCTACGTTTCCCCGCCGTAGCAATAACGGTCTACTACGCCGCCATCACGTTCGGCGCCCTGTACGTCCTCAACATCTCCATCCAGTCGGCGTTCTCGAGCGCCCCGTACAATTTCTCGCCGATCATCCTAGGGCTGCTGTACCTGCCGGGCTCGCTGGGCTACTTCGCGACGACGATACTGGGCGGGCGGTGGATCGACCGGATCATGGTGCGGGCGGCGGAGAAGGCGCGGCGGTATGACGCCGACGGGAAGCTGGTGTACCTCCCCGAGGACCGCATGCGCGAGAACGCCTGGCTCGCGGCCACGCTGTACCCCGGCGCGCTGATCTGGTCCGGCTGGACGCTGCAGTACGGCGTGCACTGGGCCGCGCCGGCCGTGGCCAACTTCTTCTTCGGCGTCGGCAGCATGCTCGTCTTCAGCGCCGCCACCACCATGCTCACGGAGTTCATGCCGGGCAGGAGCAGCAGCGGCGTCGCCCTCAACAACTTCGTCAGGAACATCCTGAGCTGTACCGGGGGTATCGTGGGCCAGCCTCTCATCGACGCCATGGGTGTCGGGTGGCTGATGACCACAGTTGGCTTGGTCGCCTGGATAAGCGGGAACTTGTGTATCTGGTTTCTCCGGAAGAACAGCCGGAAGTGGAGGGCGCAGATGGACAAGGCTCTTAATACTAAGTGAGAGCCTAGTTTTTTGTCGATGTTGGAACCAACAAAAAAAAGGGGGCGCGGGCTAGATTTGGGGGGTTATGAATTTCCATTGACGACGTGATGAGATACCGCTTAGATGAAGTTTCTTTTTGCATACCCATGGATCTAGCGTTTTAGGGGGGGGTGATACCACAGTACCGCACCCGTCAAAAGACATATAGGTCCTAATAGTAATCCATTTCATCACCTACTACCAGAAGTCATGATGGAGTCGGTAACGTGTTGAGCAATCGACACTTTAGCGCATTTGAGAAGTCGGTGCCAACTGGCACAAATGGCGGGTAGAAAAGTGCAACGGGGTTTTTCGTAAGGACAGTTAAGAAGTCACGCGTCCCTGACTTGTTTGTTCTCTAGAGGCTCGCTATTCGAACTTAGGTGTGCCTTTTTTCCAACTTCGCTTCTAGTTACCAGGGCCTTAATACAGCTATTGATGTTAGGTAGGTACTAGCCTTCTTCACCTAGCATACACTAAAATAGCTACGTATATGGGATAGGCATGATAGATAAGACTGCATGTATATACATACCTACGACTTCACGTACAAACAATATGTACCTGTGAAGTAAACTATCCATCTCTCCTCCACGAATCTACCCCTAAGCTACCTCCTCAGCAAACAACTTCCCCAGCGCCTCCAAGCTCACATTCCCACCACTGAACACCACCCCCACATCCCAGCCGTCCTCGCCAGCCTCCCTCTCCACCAAGCCCCGGAACTCCTCGTTGTACAGCGCGACGGCGAGCGGCACGGCGGAGCTGGGCTCGATGACGAGCTTCAGCCTCTCGTAGGCGAGGCGCAGGGCGCGCTTGATGTCTTCCTCGGAGACGCTGTAGAAGCCGGCGACGAGGCGCCGCTCGTAGATGACGGACCACGGATATGCGCCGACGGGCGTGCGCAGGCCGTCGGCGATGGTCAGCGTCGACACGGTTTCCACTCGCACCCCGGACTCATACCCCCGCTTGCCGTCGTCGGCGCCTTGGAAGGACGGCTCGGAGCCGAAGACGCGGATCCCGGTGTTTTCGCAGGAGAGGGCTACGCCGGAGAGCACTGGGACAAATTAGGTCAGGGGGGGTTCATCAATTAAGGATTGTGTGGTGGTATAAAGGGTGTGGGGGGAATCAAAGACGGGAGTGATAAAAGGGGGAGGGAGGCGGCGGCGGCAGAGAACAGGGGAGGAGGATGGCTGAAAAGGGAAAGCAAAGAGTAATAAAAAGAATATGAAAAACAAAAAAAGAAGTCTGCCCATCCTGGGGTCGAACCAGGGATCTTCTGATTGCTTCTGTTTTGATAACTAACAGTCAGACGCCTTAACCAACTTGGCCAATAGGCACTAGACGATGAAATAGTTTGCTACCATAATGACTTATATAGTAAGTAGACAGTGTGGTTTGTGCTTGCCATGATTGCTATGAGATGAGATCCATATCAGAGATAAGATTGAAAAATGGGAATAGAAATCAGAAGGAACGAATGACTATAGAAATCCAAGTACTTACTGCCGCCGCCACCACAAGGCGCGATAATAGCATCGAGGCCCCTTTTCTTCCCCTCCTTCCCGCTCAGCTTAGCCTCCTCAGCCATCAAAGCCTCGACCTGCTCTTGGAACTCGAGGCCGAGCGTGCCCTGTCCCAAGATGATATCCGGGTGGTCGTACGGCGGGACGAGGCGCGCGCCGGTCTCCTCGACGACCCCGGCGGTGACGGCCTCGCGCTCGACGCTCGTGCTGCCGCTGAAGATCACATTGGCGCCGTACCCCTTCGTCGCGGCGATCTTGGGTGGCGCCGATATGGACGGCATCACTATGTACGCCGGTATGCCGTTTGTGCGGGCTGCCAGCGCGAGAGCCTGTGCGTGGTTCCCTGGGTGTGTTGGTTAGTTCGTGTTACACTCTGAAGGTCACAAAATTCATGAATCCGTGATACCACCAACACGCCCGATCAAACCAGTCAAACCTTGTCGACGGCTCCCCGTACATAGGCAATGCAGCCATTCCTCGTCGAGCTTCCCGTCACACCCAGCCTCCTAACCCTTGAGTACACCCCCAACCGAAACAGCACATACGCCCATCGAGAAGCGCCACACAGAGCAGTCAAGGAAAGATCACCAACCAGAACTATGCGTCACAACGCCCCTCTCCCTGCCGCCGCCCTCAAGCCACCCCGGCTCCTGCTTCAACCTCTCGATCGCATGGAACGCGCCACGGGCCTTGAAAGCGCCGACCTTCTGCAGGTTCTCGCACTTGAACCAGAGCCTCAGTTTCGGCTTCGCCTTCGCGCCCGTCTGCTCCGCCGAGGCCAGTGCCGAGAGCGAGGAGCTCGTGACCACGGGCGTCCGGTGCACGAACGGCTGTATGAGCTCCCGGGCCGCCGCCACGGACGCCCGCGTCAGCGGCGGCGAGGTTGACGGGTCCGCCATGAGAGATAGTTTGGCCCCGAGGAGAATGGGGGGAGTCTGACAAGCAAGAAGCAAGCAGGTGAAGAAGGGGGTGAATAAGCGAAGTCTTATGTAAGTTATACAAGTAAGCAAAGCAAGGGTTTGACTATCATTCGCCTTATCCAATCCTTCCCAATATGCTGGGAGTGAAAGGAACTTGGGGGTAGGCTCGTGGTACGAAGCTCCAACTGGTCAAAAAAAAATCTACGCTTTGTGATCTAGGCTCCGATAGCGGAGGAGAGTTTAGTTATGCAGAAAACACCACTCAAGTAGTCACATCTAGATTCTAGAACAATTTCATAAATGCTTCATTGAAAACCTCAACTAGAGTGACTTTTGGACCAATCCCCTTCAGACCTTCGTGAGATGACGTTGGGGAATATTGAAAAGTTACAAGTACAAAAGCTCATCCTTTTGTTCCCCGGGGAATATGTCTTCACCGTTTAGTTTACCATCCCGATATTTTATTTTTTTTCTTCTCTAACGCCGAAATGTACCTATTTTTGGTTCTCGGGTCGGAGAGATCTGTAATCAAAATTGTTAGCTATGAGTGGCATGGAACGAGTAGGTTTGTAAAACCGAGTCGATAAGTCTTACCTTACGGCCTTGCCGGCCTTCCAGATCTCCATGTTGCGGATCTCTTCCATCTCCGCCTCGAACTTCTGTCGGTAATCCTTCTGGCTGTTGTACTCGAGCGATCGCTTGGTCTCAGTACCATCCCGGACGGAGTCATACAGGCTGTTGAAGACGGGCTTCAAAGCGTCCTTGAACTTAGGGGTCCAGTCGATGGCACCTCGTCGGGCAGTAGTAGAGCAAGCCTCGTACATCCAGTCCATACCGTTAGCACCAATCAGAGGGTATAAGCTCTGGGTAGCTTCCTCCACGGTCTCGTTGAAAGCCTCGCTGGGAGAGTGGCCACGTTCTCGGAGAACCTCGTATTGTGCTAGGAACATACCGTGGATACCACCCATCAAGCAACCGCGCTCACCGTACAAGTCAGAGTACACCTCCTTCTCGAAGGTGGTCTTGTAGAGGTAACCACTGCCGACAGCAACACCGAGGGCCTGTGCCTTCTCCTCGGCCTTACCAGTGACATCCTGGTAGACGGCGTAGGAAGAGTTGATACCACGGCCTTGACGGAAGAGGGATCGGACGGTTCGGCCAGAGCCCTTGGGAGCGACGAGAATGACATCGATGTCCTTGGGGACATCGACCTTGGTGACGTCCTTGAAGACAGGAGAGAAACCATGGGAGAAGTACAGGGTCTAGGAAGTATCAGCTTTTGTCACTTTGTATAGATGACGCATATTAGCGTACCTTTCCCTTGGTAAGCTGGGGCTTGATAGCAGGCCACGTCTCGCTCTGGGCAGCATCACTGAGCAGGTTCATGACGATAGTACCCTTAGAGATAGCCTCGTCAACCTCAAAAAGGTTCTTGCCGGGAACCCAGCCATCTTGCTGAGCATCCTTCCACGATTGACCGTTCTTTCGGACACCGATAATTACATTCAAGCCGTTGTCACGGAGGTTGAGACCCTGACCGTGGCCTTGGGAGCCGTAGCCGATAAGGGCGAGGGTGTCGTTCTTGAAGTATTCCTTTACGGTATATTAGTCATTGTCATTATATAAAATATTTCGGTTTTGGTTTCAAGGACTTACCAAGATCTTCTCCTTAGGCCAGTCGGCACGCTCTACAAGATGATATTAGCTGATTTCGCCTATATAATCGTCAATTGAACCCACCATAGACCTCCTCAGGCGTTCCAGCAAAGTCGACAGTCTTCACACCACGGACCTGTTGTTGGACGGCGCCGGCCAGGGCAGGTCGGGCCTTGGCGGTAGCTCTGACGAGGTTCGACGCAACGACGAATGAACGTGTCTGGACGGTGGGCGATGCCACTCGACGGGCCAATTGGCTACGAAGAGCCTTTGAAAAGCCTCTGGAAGCCATCGTGAAGGTGATATATCGAGTGGAGATTAAGGTGAAGAGGTGTTAGAAAGAGAGGCTCAATAGAATAGTATTATATCCTATTTAGAAAAAAAGAATTGGGCCTTCACAGAGTCAAAAATTTTCTATGTACACTTTTTTTTTTAATTCTTTTTTTTTTACAGGGTCTCCCGTAGCTTCTGCCAAAGTTCTAGGTGTGCGACTTCGGCGGTGAGTCGTTGCCCTCAACCAATGGTGGGGTAATTCGCCGGTCCGGTAAAGGTAAAGGTGGGACTCTGGTACCGGTACAATAAATTAATATAATAATGTCCCATAGATCTATATGCATTTATGAATTAATAGATCTCTTAAAGTATTGATACAGGTCCTAACTACCTAGGTACCTAACATCCTTGAGATCAACTTGGTGGAAGTAACCTTATCTTAGTTCAATACCTAAGCAGTGTGACGATAAACCGATAATCCATAACGGTCGTTAGTTAAAGCCAAATGTTGACTTACAAACAGCACCACGAGTCTAGAAGCACTTCAGCAATGTAAACTTTGTCGAATTCATCCATGTACCATTTATCTACCTAGGTATCTATTGAAACGGCTCGTTCCCGTCTATGCCATCCGTCGTTGATGACCGTACAAGTGCATTACTACCTACCGCCATAGGATTCCAAAGGCAGATGATAGAGTATTTCCCTTCATGCCTCGAAGCAAATGCGATCCCTAATAACGCCTTGCTATGTGCTGTTCGCAAAGCCAACATAAACCTTCGTTCTTTCGTTCCATTGCGTTACTTAAGCTGATGATGATAGTACATCATTAGAACTAAGTCAATCTGCCTAAAAATTGTAGTTGTACCACTTGGGTGTAATCAACAGTCTTGTCCGCTCGAACTAACAGTGTTGGATATTCTCAAGAAAGGTGCTGCCCAGTTATCCAGGATCGACTAGACTCTGCCGTAGACCACACGGTCGTACATGACCCCCCGTATTGAACCACCAGACATAGATAAGCGCACGTTTCGTCGGAAACTATCTCGACTCGAACGTAGATCGTCGGCGGCTTCCTTGTTGAGAGGGTCCGAGGCATTTGGTTCCAGGAACAGAAACTGGAGACCGACAATAACGGCATTCAGATTAAGCACCGGCTTCCAGTCCTCGCGCAGGATGTTCAGGCACACCTTCCCCTCAAGGTCGATGTTGGGATGGTAGATCTTCTGCTGACAGCGTACTTTAGGCGGCTCGTGGGGGTAGTTCGGACCCATTGTGAAAGTGAACGTGAACCGGCCGCCGTGGTAGATGCCTTCATCAGGTGTGATCTCGAGTATGAAGTTGAGGATATCATCCGGGTCGGCAAATATGGTCTTCATCGTTGTGCCTAGTGACAGCTCGGAGAGATCTATAATCGAGCGCGGTTCAGTTTCGTTGTCCAGTAGTCTAGGTCACCCTGCATCATCGCCTCTTACCTTTCTGTACTCGTAGTTGAGCTGATGTGACTTTCTTTTTCTTCCCAGCGGCGCCATCAGCGTTGTCCGCTTTTTGTTGGGCAGATTTCTACACATATAAGATTAGAATAAAGCTACGTTATACGTCGCGATGATTATTGTAACCCACCATAGACCAGATCTTCAACATCGTGACTGGTATGTGAGGTAGTGGTAAATGGGTTTGGATGGGTGGTGAAGACAGGCGCTTTCGGTAATAAAGAGGCTGGCGACGATTGCGATAAGAACGTGGATTATGAGTTGATTTTATTTACGAATGGAAGGAAGGCCGCTGAATGTTTACCAGGTAGTTTAAGAAGGTTCTCAAGAAGAACAACAAGATCAGGGATGTATACGGAATAGAAGTATTATTGTCTCGCGTGATAAGACATAATCGAACCCTTTGGGAAGTCTAAGCCTTGCAACCCGACACCAATGTGGCGGGGCACTTTACCTAACCCAGAGCTACCTA